TGACCCTTGCAGAGTCATACATTTCTCATGGCTCAATCGTCACCTGCTGCCGATATGAATGATGTCCCCGGTGAAGGAGGGGAACCAGCAGCTCCCGCACTCATAACGCAGGTTCTACAATGCGGGCCCATATCGGAATGCTCACCCATGATTGGTGTTTAGGTGGAAGGGGTTTTCATGACGAGGTTGCCTGAGGAATATCATATCCCTGAAGACCCTATTGTTTTGGAAGGGGACCTCTCCCGTTCCGGTGGGGTGTTCCAGTCGAACTTGTTCTCTCCTATAAGCGACTCTGTGCAGGTCTATCTGCCATGCTCAATGACTTGCTTTCATTACAAGAGCCAGTGGTGTTTGACTTCATCAATGGACGGTTCCTGCGAACTAGCCTCGCAGATTTCTACAAGCAACACGGCTTCTCTAGCGAAGTTGCATGCAACATAGAGTAGTTTGTATATTATTATCATTCTGGAAGTTATGTCCCACGATATAGGTATGTTTTGGCGATGCCAGAGCCCGAGACCGCTGAGGTTACTCAAGAGGATTAGTGGCTTTCCTGCATTGAACTCCTTGAGGGTACACAGTCGGGGGTCTATGCTACTGGATCGATGAAAGGTGATACTAGCTAACCGTGACATATTGTTATATGTGGCTCTGTATATTCGAGGTTCGTGGAGTTTATACACATCTGAGGGTCATCGCAAGCTCTTCGGGCAGCGCGACTCGGACACTTCGGTCTTGGCACTTGCTGGACGCGAGGACACTGTGGTTACTGGTGAGCTCGATCACTCAATGAAGGTGATGTGTCTTGGATGTAGGTAGTCGGGATGGACTGGTTCGATTTTATGCTCTCGATGAGAGCAGCAAGTCTCCGGCGCTCGTTTCGAGCGCAAACAATGGAATTAAAGGAGGGTACGCTCTTCCCGGTGGGAGTTGGTAGGAAGTCGGTTTCTCTTCATCAGAGTCGCACCGGTGACAGCACTCACAATCTCTTCTGACGGAAGCATAGTCGTTGCTGGCGATGCTGGTGGACTCCTCGCGCTATATAATGTTCCCTCTGGTGAGGTCGATTGACCCGGAGATCTTGTCTTATGAGTGTATACTTCCCTCTCAGAGTCGTCCCGTGACGTTGCCGGTCCGCGGGTAGTCTTTGCCGATCACCACATGGAGGGTTGCGGTGTTACGAGGTAGGCGTCGCTGATAGGTCTCTATCTGTGGCTATTATTGTTTCACAGGCTGGTGAAGGTCGACACAGAAACTGTTATGTCAGCGTCTTTGGACAGCACTCTTGCGCTATGGGATATCTTGGCTGCCAAGCGTCATGCAGTTCTTCCTTGCGGGAGGTGAGGAAATTCGACCGTTTGAGGGTTTTGCGTCAAAAAGAGCACTGCTCGCCCGTATCTATCGTTCGGGGTGCTGCGTACTTTGGAGAAAATCCTCTATTTAATTCTTTCTGCGACCTTCATTATTGGTAATTCAGGGCGGCAACTGCTATGGCCATCTCATCAAACAGATCAGGAGTTTGTACAGGCCACGATGATGGCCGTGTTGCATATTGGGATTTACGCTCTTCCAAGGATGAGCTTGAACTCACTCAGCAGTACAGAACCCATGAGCGTTCAATAACAGGGGTAAGTAGGCATATTTAGAATCATGCTATGCTGCAACAAATCCGGACGCTTATTCTTACGATTTACTCAGGTTTCGTGGAACCCGACGAGTGACTATCTAGTGGCCACGAGCTCTCTCGACGGGACCGTCAGGCTCTATGACTCACGATCGGCTCGATTGCCGCTACAGAGATGCGACCTGCCTCAAGACATCGCGGTGACCGGCTGCACTTGGTGCAATGACAAGGTACTCGCTTCTGCCGTCCCCATAGCTGATCACACTAGAGCTGTTTTTACTCTCAGGTTATCCTCTCCTCGGGTTCGGATGGTAAGGTCCGAACTCATATGATCAAGCCTTCGCTAGTTGAGTGATCATGCTGAGGCCGATTGGTGTCACAACGTCATTTACACGTACATTCCTGGAATACCGAAAAAGTTTCTTGCCAACGATTGGTTCACTTAGTCGCTTCAATGACACCGGTGACTGAAGGAGTTGGATCTTTGACTCAGCATGGAAACAACCACATTTAGCGATTTCGAGTGCAAATTTGACGATACAGGCGTTATTGTCCTGGACACGGGTTGAGTCAGCGACGACGTTCCAGAGCGAGTAATCCCGAGTGCGGCCCTCCAGTGTTCCTTGACTCCAGGAAGTATGATTCCCGAGCTCACACGTAATCTCAGCAGTTGCGGTGATCATTGTGAAGCTCGGAAAGCATACGGATCAGGTCATGTTCGAGAACTCCGGCTGCTGTTGTTATGGATATGGCTGCCTTGTCATTGCCCTCGACGGGCGCACCCACGGGAGTGGTCGTCGGCATTGACCTTGTGTGATTGATCTTCCGTCTATTCCATGAAGATCACCTACGTCATCGTAAAACGATGCGCTATTTCCCATGCGACTTCGTGCTTGGAAAGACTGGTAATAACACTTGCTGCTTGAGCATCCACATGTATAAATCCACAGGCATACACATAACCCAGCATCTCGAGAAGCTTATATCCCACCGCCAACCTACTGTCGCGTCAAGAGATGCCGGGGTCGCGGAGTGGGGTCGTGAATATTTCATATACGCTGATATGAGAGGAAGATTCTGTCGAGGGAGCTAACTGCTTGCTGACAGCGTCAGGTGACCACGCTGACTGCAGAAGAGTACTAGGCAGATAGGGATAACCTTTGGAGTATTAGCGTGGAAGCCGTTCCGAAAAGATCTTCATGGTCAAACATTCAGCATGGTTGGTACAAAAATTGTAAACGTGTAGCGTTTTAGTTCGCAGGCGATTAAGCTATTTCATTGGGGCGACTATCACGCGAGCGATACTAGTTGCAACTTAGTGCATAAGTTGAAAGATTCGCTCATCAAGGCCAGAGA